TTTTTCTTCCTCTTTTTTGATAGGAGTCCACTGAGGTTTTGCCGTACCCCAGAATCATAAAACCTCTTGAGATAGACAAGAGTTCAGGGTTGAAGTGTCAAATCCAGAGGGTTTTACTTCAATGTGTTTTGGATTGGACATCTCCCCAGAGAAGTATAAAATTCCAAAAATTATGTTTTGTGGTTTTGCTTCAGGTTCAGTCAGGATTCGTTGCAAAAGGTGATACAAAATCATGAACTTTTTTTAGGAATTCAGGGCAGAGATAGATGCTGTCTCTGGACTTCTGAACGATGGGCACTATTGCTATCTGTAGGATCATGCTCCTAGGAAAAGGGTCATATTTACTGAGTTCTGCTAAAACAAAATAGGCAGTTTTATTAAATTGCTGGAAAAAAATAACAAGGGCCTAAATATTTGGTCTATGCATGCATTCTGCTCTGGAAGTCCCAGTTTTCTTGTCTATAAAGGAGAAATAGTCTATTGCATTCATTGTTCCATCAGCCTCTTCTGAGCTGTTTAAGACAGCCAATGGTTAGAACCACTTTCCACAGCTACACACTGAACTTGGCCCTGCAAAGACACTGTATCTACTTCCTGTTTCTGCTGTAACAAATTAGCACAAATTTAGTGGCTTTAAAACAACACAAATTGATTATCTTACAGTTCAGAAGGTCACAGTATAAAGTGGGTTGCACAGGGCTGACACCTAGATGTAGGCAGGGCTACATTCCTTCTAGAGGATGCAGGGGAAAATCCATTTCCTTGCCTTTTCCAGCTTCTAGACCTTTGCTGCATTCCCTGGCTCGTGGCCTCTTGCTTTATCTTCGAAGCCCACAGAGTAGCACCTACAGACATTGCTGTGGAAGCTATGTCCTCCACTTGAGATTACACTGGGGCCACTGTGATAATCCAGGGTCATCTTGCATCTCAAGATCCTTAACTTAATCACCTCTGTAATGTCTCTTTTGCCATGTATGGTAACATATATATTCACAGGTTTGGGGGACTGAGACATGGACATCGCTACAGGGCCATTATTTTTTCTACACAAATACTAATGCAAAAATCATGGGTTGGACCTAGATCTAGGAAATAAGGAGGACAGATGAAAGGGAGAGCCCTTGGCATTGGTGGAGAGCTAGTTTTTTGCCACGCTCATTACCTTGTCCTCATAGAATCTAAGGGAAGAGAAGGAGAGGAGTCCCACTTTTGAGACAGGGAGACTGAGGCTCAGAGAGTTTACATGGTATTTCTGAGACTCACACAGTTATTCCAAGGAAATCAAAATGCAAGCTCTTCCCACAGCACCATGCCACTGGCTACACCATAAGCGTCCCATTACACATGTGTTTAGCAGGGTTTCATGATGCAGAGTCAGGGCTGTGCACAGATATTAACTTACAGGTGGTAACTTCTCACAGCTAAAGGTTGAAAGTTGTTATGTTATTCCTCAAAGGTGAAACCTACTTCATGAAATAGCTTTACTCTTTAGTGGGAAGCAAGTGAAAACATTCCAGTATTTTCGGCTGAGCCAAAAGAAATGCTGTTTTTAAAAAGTGAGTAGTTTTCACCTGTGCATACTATATTATATTTCAGCACTTTAGAGGAGGTTTTAAAGGAATATCCAAAAATATCAAAAGATAAAACGTTTTCTATATGGAAAATTATTTTAAATCTTTTAAATAAAAGGTTAGTAAGGGGTGAGAGAAACAGTGTGGAATTAAATAACTGGTATCTTATTCCCTGGGCCTTGTATTTCTGAGCCAAATATTATGGAGTTTTAAAAGAAAGAGACTTGGCATTTCCACAAAATCTGGAAGAAGGAAAAAACATCTCAAAGCAATGCTGCAAGAATAAATCATACTTTGAGACTTTTGGCCAGAGGGAGCAGACCTCACTATCTACCCCAAATTAGGCTAAGAGGTTTTCTTTGAAATAAAATGGACCTCTGGAATTCTGAATTATGAGAGTAACTCAAATTACATATGTAGAATTCTGAGTAAGGCCAACGATAGTTTCAGTCTCTTCTTTTTTAATTTCTCTGTCATATAATATGGTCTTCTACATGGTTTTGGGAAAAGACATGATCAACAATATTTTATAAAGATTTATTTTGCTTTAAAAGCTTTACATTTTGTTTTAATGCCAAATTAATTCAAACTTGAGCATCTGAGAAAGGCATCTCACTTCTGAAAGTTATTGCCTATTTTACAAATAAGTCAATAATTCACCGATTTCAATAATAAGGCCAAAAACTTAATGACTACCTGGCCCATTAGTGATACTGACCAGAACATTCAGCTTATTTAAGGGCCAAATAAAAATCTCACAAATAAAAGTGCATACTTTTGGTGAATTATTTTAGTTAATATAGAATAAACTTATGATAGCATCCAAAAGATTAAGACTGGGAGATTCTGGTCACAATCTATAATGGGTAGGATGGGAGAAATTAACATTTTGTCTTTATTATTTGTGAATATGATGGGGTTACAAATGTTTTGGTTACATAAATTGCTTTTGTACAGTTTGATTCAAAGTTATAAGCATGCCTATCACCCAGATAGTGTGCACTGTGCCCGTTAGGTGTGAATTTACCCATCCCCTCCTCCCCACCGACCTGCTTTATTTCCGCTGAGTTTTACTTCTATATGTGCACATAAGTGTTGATCAATTAATTCCAATTTAATAGTGAGTACATGTGGCATTTGTTTTTCCATTCTTGCAATACTTCCCTTTCTCATCATTTATGTGATCTTCACAATCACACTTTGCAATAGATTTAGTAACTCCTTAAACAGATAAATGAGACCAAAAAAGCTTAGGTAACTTTTCTAAAGACACTTTATTAGAAGATGGTCAACTCTGGATGACCCCAGGTCTTTCAGGCACAACAGTTTTCATTGCCCCCAATATGAATATATTTACTCTACCCTAGTCAGAAGTACGAGGTTAAAATCCATGAAAGTATAAAAAGCCTTTGCTGAGTTTCTTTACTTGTTACACTGAAGTATTCCATGTGGATCAGAAACCTTTCCAGGCCAGACGTGAAAATGATGACATTAACGTACAATGAAGCACAGGTCCCTTTACAAAGCTTAGCATTCAGCTGATAGCTAAATTTCTGCAACTCTCAAAACTCACGTGACTTTTGCGCATATACCCATGGTTTCTCCAATACTCTCAGATGCTCCATCTCCAGCATTTGAACTAATACAATCAAATTAGTTGACCATATTGAACATATGTGATGTTCAGTTTGGTTGATTTTGAGGACATCAATTAAGGGATTATTTCCATTCAATGCTGGTAACTGTTTTTGTGCATGACGATGAAAACAGAGAAGGTCCTTCTATAGAAAGAAAAGTAGAATCCAGAATCAGAAACCAAGGAACATGCTTTCCTACCTTTCTTATCCTTTGTGATCAATAATATTCCTTATCAATTAGTATTAGGTTATTATATATAAACAATCTATATATTTTAAGTTAATTACCCTTTATGTAAACTCTTTAAGACATATATGTATAGATGGCGTGTTAGTGTGCTCAGACTGCCATGACAAAATACCAGACTGGCTGGCTTAAACAATTGAAATGAATATTTTCACAGTTCTGGGGGCTGGAAGTTCAAGATAAAGGTGTCATCAAGGTTGGTATTTGGTGAGGTCTCTCTTTCTGGCTTGTAGACAGCCACCTTCTCTCTGTGTCCCCACATGGCCTGTCCTCTATATGTTCATGAAGGGAGAAATCTGTGATTATCTCTTCCTCTTCTTATAAAGCCTCCAGTCCTATTGGATTAGGGCCCATCTTTATGACTTAATTTAACCTTAATTATTTTCTTAAAGACCGTATCTCCAAATACAGTCACATTGGAGGTGAGAACTTTAAAATATGTCTTTAGGAATTTGAGGGAGACACAACTGAGTCAGAGAGAAAGGGAGAGAGAGAGAGGAAGAGAAAGAGAAAGAAAGAGAAAGATTGAACTAATCTTTATATAGGCTAGCTAGCAGGGATGTCTTCCCCAAAAATTTGCTCCATGACATTAACTCCATTGCCTGGGTATTTTACTTAAAATTATGTTTAAGATGTGACTGATAATATTTAGTTTTTGGCATTGTTAAGACGAGTAAATAGCACACAGTATTTAGATTAAGTTTTTCTTGCTAATTCCTACTGCTCCTTATGATTCAGGTCAGATATCACTTCTTCCATGAAGTGTCCCTTGGTTCCCACCCCACTCCCTGCCCCTGCCAAACTGGACCAGGTGCCTTTGCTGTGTACCCCACTGCATACTCTGCATCGTGCTTTAATTATATCGTTAGACCGTGAGCTCTATCAAAGCAGGAATAATGTGCAATTAATTTCCAGACCTTCAGCAGCCATTACAGTCTCTAGCACACAGTTGATGTTGAATGAATGAATGCAAAATGACTAGCACAGTACCTAGAACATAACATTAATGCTCTTTTATTTTATGTTCAGAAAGCACTAAAAATTCAGTGAGCATTAACTACTAAAAAAATGTTTTAGTTACTTCAAGTTATAGGAGGTTTTAAAATGATTAAAACAGTGGGTGTGAAGAATCTTATGTTTCACTTTTATAACGACTTGTTATCTTTTTTTTTTTGAAATTCACAGCTTAGATAGTGAAAGAAATGAAAGAGCTTCAGTTCTAGTAGTTTCCATGATCTACCACAACATTGCCTAATACAGAATTAATTTCAGACAATTGTCCTTTTCAAGCATTTCCTTGACCTAAAAAAGAAAAAAAAAAATGTAAAGGTTATTTTTTCCTATTGTCACTGCTTATTAGTCTTGGGGAAACATTAAACATTATTTTTGGAAATCCAAGTGGAAATTTTTGGCCCACAAAGGCAATGTCCACTGTCCAGAAGGACTGACTCCAAGCTGGAATCAGCAATCCAAGTCCTGGAATATTCTCGGCAAGGGGGCAGCTCTGGGTATATACCCTCTTTTCATTGAAAATGAGCCCAGGGCATGAGCCACGGCAACAAGAGCTCGCAGCTTTACCTGCGCCTGGTGGAGACCTCGCTCTAAGGAGAAAGGATCCTGGGTTATGCTGAGGAGCCCTGCTATCTCTGGTTTGTCATGGAGTTCTGTGAAGGTGGAGACCTGAATCAGTACGTCCTGTCCCGGAGACCGGACCCAGCCACCAACAAAAGCTTCATGCTACAACTCACAAGCGCCATTGCCTTCCTGCACAAAAACCACATCGTGCACAAGGACCTAAAGCCAGACAACATCCTCATCACAGAGCGATCTGGCACCCCCATCCTCAAGGTGGCAGATTTCGGACTAAGCAAGGTCTGTGCTGGGCTGGCACCCCGAGGCAAAGAAGGCAATCAAGACAACAAAAATGTGAATGTGAATAAATATTGGCTGTCCTCAGCCTGCGGCTCAGACTTCAACATGGCTCCTGAAATCTGGGAGGGACACTACACGGCCAAGGCGGACATCTTTGCCCTGGGCATTATCATCTGGGCAATGATAGAAAGAATCACTTTTATTGACTCTGAGACCAAGAAGGAGCTCCTGGGGACCTATATTAAACAGGGGACTGAGATCGTCCCTGTTGGTGAGGCGCTGCTAGAAAACCCAAAGATGGAGTTGCACATCCCCCAGAAACGCAGGACTTCCATGTCTGAGGGGATCAAGCAGCTCTTGAAAGATATGTTAGCTGCTAACCCACAGGACCGGCCTGATGCCTTTGAACTTGAAACCAGAAGTTTCAAGTTCTGGTTGAACTTGAACCTGTCTTTTCATTGAAAAATCACTTTTACCTTTTACAATATGTCTATTGACTTTTTCTTTCCTCGTGAAGAGATTCCACATCTTCCAAAAGAATCTAATGGTCTCAAAGGATATAGTCCCACCTGACTTTCAAGACAGTTACACTCACTCTGTGGAAAAGATATACCCCTGGCAGATTAGGTAACTGACAGGCACCAAATATAGTCAGGTTTGCGTTTTTCCCCTTTGCAAGTCTAGACGTCCATATTCACAGAAAAGTTTCTGCATTTACAACAGGGAAACACACCTGCTAGGTTCACTGTGGAATTCTACAGCCTTGAAGGGCAGAAGGCAGTGGTTCCCAATCTTGGCTGCATGTTGGTGTCATCTAGAGAGATTTGAAAAATATTGATGCATTTCTAACACATTCTCTTATGGTATTGTGGCATTGTTGTTACAGGTCCTAGGACCCTCTTCGAAAACCACTGCCACCCATACTATGATTCATTTGGCCCAGAGAGCTTTACATTTCTGCGCTGAAAAATATCAGGAACCTACACCTAAGTGCTATCTCCTAGTCATTACTGATCATTCCCCACTGGCATTGCCATGGAGATTCACCATGAGACCAGTTTCAGTAGGTTCTTATAACCCTCCCTCATGGCTGTCCAGGTCAATGTGGGTGAGTAGACAGGGCACAGGACAAACCTTCCAACCCCTAGCTATGCCCCTTTGTAGCGCATAACCCTGGGTACGTTATTAGCCTTAGGTAATCAATTCATCCTGTTTTTTTCTGGATTTTACTGGTTTTAACACTGAAAGTCCCACATCCTGAGAAACCCCTAAGTCTAGGGAAAACCTGGATGGTTGGTCACCCTGTGCAGCCTGTTTTTTTATCCAGTGGTAAGAAAAGCCAAGCTGACCTTGAAGAGTCCCTTCAAGCCTTGGAGATAGTATTCATAAATTGCCATGCATGGAGCAGGTGCTTCATAAAAAGTGATCATGATTAAGCCCATGTCATCTTTTAAGATGGACTGTGGCCAGGCGCGGTGGCTCATGCCTATAATCCTAGCACTCTGGGAGGCCGAGGCTGGTGGGTTGCTCAAGGTCAGGAGTTCGAAACCAGCCTGAGCAAGAGGGAGACGCTGTTTCTACTAAAAATAGAAAGAAATTAATTGGTCAACTAAAAATATATAGAAAAAATTAGCCGGACATGGTGGTGCATGCCTGTAATCCCAGCTACTCAGGAGGCTGAGGCAGAAGGATTGCTTGAGCCCAGGAGTGTGAGGTTGCTGTGAACTAGGCTGAGGCCATGCACTCTAGCCGGGGCAACAGAGTGAGACTCTGTCTCAAAAAAAAAAAAAAAAAGATGGATTGTGTAAGGGAGGGAAACGCCATGCTTAATCACCAGTAAACATTAAGAGTGAAGATAATGCACAGCCATTTTTTTTGGCCAATCCTTTTACTGCAGTAGGTCCCAATTTTGGCTGTACATTGAAATAGTCTCAGAAGATTTTAAATAACACCCCCCCCATTCCCCAAATACCCAAATTACAGCCCAGGTATTTAGACCAGAACATCTGGTGTTAGAACTCAGACATCAGTCTTTTTATGAGCTCCCTAGATGATTTCAACTTGCACCCAAAGTTGAACACCACTGCTCAATGTTGTACTGCTCAGTGTGGTCCCCTGATTGGCAGAATCTATATGATCTGGGAACTTGCTAGAGCTGCAAATGTTCAACACTCTCCCCCGAGCTACTAGTATAATCGGAATCTCTGGGGTTGGGGCCCAGAAATTAGTGTTTATCCAGCTCTTCTCTTGCACACTAAAGATCATGTTTTCAGTAACACTGATATGGCATTTTCTATTGCTCCACTAATGTCCTTATATTTGTTATTAACAAATGTCACATATTTCCTGGTGTCCTAGATAAGGCTTTTTAAAATAGAATGTTATTGTTTTAATATACTTTTAGATCCTATTTTCCAAGATTTCACTTGGGATTTTTGTATCAATATTTAAAAATAAATGTGAACTCTACTTTTGATTTTGTGTATTCTTTCCCAGATCTTAATAATAGTGATATCCTAACTTAGTAAATTGTAAATTAATTTAAATGCTTCCCTTCTTATTTTGTGTTTTGGACCAGTTTGTATAACATTAAATGGTTTGTTTCTCAAAAATTTAAAATTCACTGGCGAAAACACATGTGACTCTATCACTATTGTTAGAAGTACATTTTGTTTTACAATTTTTGGTCCATAAAAAATATTTCTAATGTTATTTTTGGTCATTTATATTACCTAAAATACCATCCACTCTGAAATCTTTTTTGAAGCATTGGCTTATAAAAAATACAATGTTTTCTTAAATGTTTTTACATTATTTTAATATGTGTCTATGTCATTTTTCCAAAATCTAGAACTGAATGTTTACTACATGAATTTAAGTTCTTTACTAGTGAATATTTAAATACTTGAGTATATAAATTTTCCTTGGTAAATAGCTATAGCTAATGTCCATAAGTTTTGATAAGTTCTATTATTATAAATTTCTCCTTTTTGGAAGATGCTGTGTTAGATAAGCAATTTTTAAATGTTCTTTGAACAATACAAAATAAGACATTTCTTTGTTTTCACTGCATAGAAGATATATGAGAATATGTATCATACTTATAAGTGAATACATATATCAACCTATAATTCTTTTATTGTATATGCTCTTTCCTTAATGTATCTTACTACTTTTGAAGAAATTAGTAAAATTCTTAAAATGTAATAAAAATAAAATAATCCTCTTTTTAATTAAAAAACTGGTCATTATGTTTGGAAACATTTGCTTTTTAAATTTTAAAATGCATCTGCCTTGAATATCGAAATCAAACAAGTTATTATTTACTGTTTTAAAAATAATATTTTTTCTTTTTCTCAAAATTTATGCATGCTAATTATGGAAAATTTTAGAAGTATTAAAAAAAAAAACCAAGAAACTTTAAAACACCATGATCTCCACCCATTATACTATTTGGGATAAACTCTACATATACTTTTCTAACCATTTAATTTAACAATGATTCAAGAAAAATTTAGAAGATTAAATAAATTTCTCATCACATAATTTTAACATCTTCAGTACATTTAACACTACAGATGTTTACATTTTAACCCTGCACATATAATAGATATTGTTTTAGTTTTTAATATTTTAAATAATACTGAAATGAATGCTTTTGTATTAATGTATTCATGTCTATGTGCATGCATGATTGTTTTCTTATAAAACAGTCTAAAATAGAAAATCATTGGGTTAATATGAACCATTATTCAATTAGTAAAATATATTTTAGCTACATTTCTTTTAAATAATGAAGAGTTGCAAGTTTATATTGATTGAGGTTTAAGGGCTTTTTTTAAAAAAATGATATCTGGTTTGTTTATATTTTAATAAATAGTATTTTTTTCCTTTTATTGTTATTGTTCTAGCTGTGAATTTTAGTGTTTGCCCATTTTTCATTTTGTTTACTTCACTTTGTGATGCTTTATTATTTGTTAATTATACCCTACACCCTCTTATACCCTAGTAATTCAGAAGATATTTTATTTCAAGTATTTATACACTTAAACTGTATCACTTTTCCAGCTCTTAGTTGCCAATAGGAGCAACATGTCCGCTGTCCTAGTTCTCAAAGTCTGGCCATGAACCCTTTGCATCAGAATCATTTTGGGGTAATTATTAAAATGCAGCTTCTTAAGCTCTAACCAGATGAATCATAGTCATCTTGGGATGTGGCCCAGAAATCTGCATTTTATAAGTACCCCAAATAAATCTTAAGAACATATAAGTTTTGATATCTCTGATTTAAATTATTTTCTTATTTTGCTGGTGAGATACACAAAGATTGCATAGAAAAATTAAAGCTAACTCCCACCCTAATAGTAAATGGCATTTTTCAGTGGTTCTATTGTACTCTGATTACTTATCTGAATTAAAATTAGACAGATATTTGAGGGATGGCTAAATGGAAACTCTGAGCACTGTTTCTTTAGTGGCTTTTAAAGATATTTTGTGTCTTCTTAATGAACCTCTGAGAATGACCTCAGTCCTGAGGAGACTTAGGCTGTTTCAAACCAACCACTTTCCTCACTTTTCCTGAAGACTAAGTAACTATTAGAGCAGACATTAAACCGTAACCACCACTAGCTATACCAGATGACTCAACTCAGGTTATAATTAGGGGAAGGAAAAGCCAGAGGGAGACGGGTGGGGATCAGGGCAAGACAGCTAGCTGGAAGGAGGAATGTTCCGGGTCTTCCTTCAGAGGACAACTGGCCCTCCTCAGGGGCCAGCACCGGTCAGTGATCACAGTATCCTGATCCTTAAGCCAACTGGACCCTTTAGTGGCCAGTAATACCTGGGTCTCAGATGGACAAACAGAAATAAACTCAGATATTATGGATTAGTTTAAAGCTGGATGAACAAGAACTGTCCCGTAGGTAGCATTAAAAGGGGGAGAAGGGATAGACCCAGGGTTTTTAGTGTTTGAGGAGACTCCGGAAGGACAAATTATTTTTAGAGCTAGGAGTGGCCCTAGCAGCAGCAGAAGCAGCAGCCCTTATATCTAGCAGGAAGAATTATGGAGCCAGGAACTGGAAAGAATCTAATTTCCAAGACAATTCACTTTAAATAATATTAACTCATAAAGGATGTGAAGGTTGGGGGCTGGGCAGAAAAGTGCAAAGGAGGAAGAACTGGAAAATCCTCAAGAAAGTGACAGCCTTCCACAATCAGAACCCTGCTCAATTTTAGGACCTCAACTCCATATAGGCTCTCCTCCTATTGGCTATCTCTCTACCAGAGAGCCCTACAGGCTCTCTATAAGCTCTCTCCCTATAGGCTCTTTCCTCGTAGGTTCTCTCCTTAGGCTCTCTCCCTATTAGCTGTCTCCCTATTGGCTCTCTCCCTACAATCTCCCTCCCCATAGGCTCTCTGCCACAGCCATGCATCCTTCCCTTAAAGTACCCAACTATACCTGC